GGGTTTGAACTGCCAGCCTTCTGACTAGCAGTCAAGTGCCTTAGGCACTATGCTACCAGAGCTCCCATACAATCAGTATACTGACCCACAAAACCAAATCCACTGCAGTCGAGTTGATTCTGACTTGGCGACCCTATAGGACTACTCTATAGGGTAGAACTGTCTCCATAGGGTTTCCAAGGCTGTAAATCTTTACAGAAGCAGACTGCTTTTTTCGCCCATCAAGCATAGATGTTTAATATTAACCAGTGTATACTGTTGCACATATATTTTTGCCAAACTTATTTTTCTTTGTTGTTGTTGTTATGTGTCCTCCAGTCGGACCCAACTCATAGAGACCCCTCCTTGGGTTTCCGAGGCAGTATCACTACGGAAGTAGATTGCCCTATCTGCCTTCCGAGGAGTGGCTGGTGGGTTTGGACTGCCAGCCTTCTGGTTAGCAGTCAAGTGCCTTAGCCACTATGCTACCAGAGCTCCCGATTTTCTTTATATTTTAAAAATAAAATCTAATTCTTTAATATTCTAGTAACATTGTTTGCACTATTCTTGTAAGTATTCTTACTGTGATCATAAAATAGACTAGGGTATAATAACGTTTCAGAAATGACAAACATAGGTCAGATCTCCCTATAGTCTAAAGCCAAAAAACCAAACCCATTTTCGTGGAGTTGGTTACAACTTATAGTGAACATATAGGACACAATAGAATTGCCGCAAAGAGTTTCCAAAGCTGTAATTTTTATAGGAGCAGCTGCAACATCTTTCTTGCATGAAGTGAGTGGTAGGTTTGAACTGCCAACCTTGCAGTTAGCAGCTAAGTGCTTTAACCACTGTGCTATCATGGCTCTTTTACCTATGTTCTGGTGTTCTCAAAATTTAAGTTACTAATGCCTAGAATGTACACCATAAATTATAAAGAAAACACAGGAAAACAGGATCTCTAGCCCTTAAAAACCTAACACTGGCAATAACATACATGCTCCATTATTTTTGTAGGTAAGTATTTTATTTTGGTTAGGTGAATATGTAGATATTTAACAATTCCCTCAATCTACACTGGAAAAATAGGTGGGAGGTAGACCTCAATAGCAAATGATTAGGAACAAAATCTTAAAAATTGCTTTTGGATATACTCCCAGTAGCCAGAAAATAATACGAGGAAATCTTTCAAAATCATGACTTATGGGTCTTTCATGTAACCAGTGGAACTAAGAAACAGTTGTGAGTACCAGTAAATCTGAAGAATAAGCAAGAAAGAAAAACAGTAGAAGAGAAGAAGGAAAAGCAGGACAGAATTTCCTTTTTAAAGAAAAGAGATTGATAAGGGCTATAATGGAGTATGGTCAGTAATTGTTTCAGATGTCACACGTCTGCCTTTTTCCTAGAAATACTTAAGAAATAACAAAGGAAAGTAAGATTTTTTTTCAAGAAGATAAAATTGCAAATTGTGCCATAGCTTAAGGAAAACTCAGGTAAAATGGACTGGGATGTAAAAAAGCTAATTGAAGGAATAATCAAGGACAAAACCAGATTAGAATGGAGCTCTGGTAGCATAGTGCTTAAGGCACTTGACTGCTAACCAGAAGGCTGGCGGTTCAAACCCACCAGCCACTCCTCGGAAGGAAGGTTGGGCAATCCTACTTCCGTAGTGATACTGCCTCGGAAACCCAAGGAGGGGTCACTATGAGTCAGGGCTGACTTGACGGCACATAACAACAACAACAACAACCCCCCAAAAAATGAGCCGGCATTTAGTACAGTGATTGCTGACTTAGGTGGCATGCTTCAGCTTAGAATACTGATAAATCCATTGGGCGGTCAATAAACACTCTTCATTGTTGTTGTTGTTATGTGCAGTTGAGTCAACCCGCCTCAGAGTGACCCTTCCTTGAGTGACCCTTCCTTGGGTTTCCTAAGCAGTATCACTACAGAAGTAGATTGCCCAAACCTCCTTCTGAGGAGTGACTGGAGGGTTTGAACCACCAGCAGTCAAGTGCCTTAGGCACTTCGCTACCAAGGCTCCTAACACTCTTCATAATAAGGCTTAAAAAAGAAGGAAGAGGAAAAGATTTCATTTGCAATATAAGGACTAGGGCCAGTAAGTGTCCCTGAAGAGAAGTTTGACAACTCAAGCAGTGCATACCTTTGATATGGAGGGGCAAGGATAATACCAAATTGCTAATACATTGAAAATGTTAGAAAAAGTGAACAAAGAATAGACTTAGAGAGAAGCAAAACATTGTAGGATAGCTGAGGCTTGTTGTTGTTGTTATGTGCCGTCGAGAGGCTTAGAAAAGAAATAAAATGAGAACAGGCTGGGAGAGAACTTAGTAAAAGAAATATTTCTTAAAAATGGACAATGAGTCACTGAAGAGTACAATGAAATGATGACCCAAATCAGATTCAAATGAAGATGTACCATTTCACAGTTCTTTTTTTCTTTCTTTTTTTAAGGCTATTAAGGACTAAACCCATTGCCATCAAGTCTATCCCAACTCATAGCAACCATACAGGACAGAGTAGAATTGCCCCACAGGGTTTCTAAGGCTGTAAATCTTTAAAGAAGCAGACTGCTTCATCTTTCTTCCAGAGCCGCTTGTGGCTTTAAACTGCCGACTTTTGGTTTGCAGCCAAATGGTTTAACCACTGCACCGCTAGAGCTCCTTCTATTAAGTACCAAACCAAACTAAACCCCCTGCGATCAAGTTGATTCCGACTCACAGTAACCCCCATTGGGTTTCCAAGGTGGTAAATCTTTACTGAAGTAGATTGTCCTGTCTTTCTTCTGTGAAGTGGCTGGTGAGTTGGAACCACCAACCTTCTGGTTAGCAGTCAAATGGCTTAGTCTCTGCACCACTATTAAATACAGTCTAGCTAAAAGGGAAACTCCTAGGTTTTAAAATTCTCCCTGTCTGATAAAAGGAAGCATACAAACTTCTAAGGAAGACATGCTTTTTTCCTGATTCAATCTTTCCTCTCTCCTTAACCCCAGAGATTCCGATTTAATTGGCATGAGTGCAGCCTGGTCACTCCATGTTTTTTTTTTAAAAAAGCAGTAACTCTCCATGCTCCCCTCCCTCTAGACCCTGGTAACATTGATCTATTTTTGTCTCTATGCGTTTGCCTATTCTAGATAGTTTATGTAAGTGGGATTATACAATATTTGTCATTTTGTTTCTGAGTTGTTTCACTTAGCATAGTGTTTTCAAGGTTCATCCACCTAGTAGCATATATCAGAACTTCATTTCTAGATGCTTTATTTACCATAAATATATCTTAATTGATTCTGAAAAAGATACATAGGTCTAAATGTTTTGAAAGATTTAAAGTTAACTATAAATTAATCAAAATACAATACTTAAATTCCAAATTATTTTCAATTTAAGTTTTTCCCTGACTTAATAAAACCCTTTTAACACAAGATCACATAAACAGCTACACAGTCTTCTAATTTTAACAATGATATTTCAAACACTGTACTCTTTTATTCATTACTTTTCTTTTTCAAATTATTCTTAGATATTTTTGCCAGTTAACTAATATCTTATTTGGTCAGATCAGTTACATTCTTATTTTTAAGAATAATAGCTAAGTGATATATTTTCTGAGTCCCTTCTTATCTGAACACATTATTCTGTAATGTTTACACATGACTGACAACTTTGCTGGATATAAAATCCTTGGTTCATAAGAAAAAAAAAAAGAACTTCATTTCTGTATGTCTGCATAATATTTCATTGTGTAGCTATGTCACATTTTGTTTATCCATTCATTTGTTGATAGACACTTACTTGAGTTGTTTCCACTTCTTGGCTATTGTGAATCACACCTGACTTTTAAATATAGTATATATTGAGTATACTGTGGACTTCTTTTAAACTTCTCTCCCCAACTGCATATGCAAGATGTGACTATAAAGTAATGAGACTTAAAAACCCACCACCAACAAACACACCAGACCTTATATATCACATGAGTGAGGTCCTTTGATATAATCACATCAGGCACAATAAATAACAGCAAAACGTTATACTATTATAGCAGTTTATGGTTTAACAAATGCTTTAACATTCATTTTCATTACTCTAACGTATCTTCAACAACTCTATACAACAGGTATTTTAAAGAAAAACTGAGGCTCAGAGAAGTGAAGTAACTTGTAAAAAGTCACACATTTAAAAGTGAAGCAGAACTACACTAGAAATTCTGACTCCTAACTTAGTGATCTTTTCCACACACCTTGCTGCCTTGCTGTATATTTAATCCAATCATGCTACCATTACTCAAAATGTTTTTGGAACTCCTCTTTTGGAATTACCTCCAGAGCCAGTTTATAAGCAACACAAGAAAGACCAGTCTCATTACCTTATAATCATACCTTGTTTCGGACCCCAAATGGTATCATCTAGCTTGATCACTCACCTTATTCATCTGTCTTGACTCCGAATGACTTTTGGCTGTTCCAAAAATCAAATCCACCCTCAAAGGACGAAGATTTGCCATCATTGAGGATAATCAAAAGAATGTGTCGCAGACTCTGAAGGCAATGCCAAAAAAGGAGTTCCAAAATGTTTTGAGCAATGGCAGCATTGTTGGAATATGCGTATAGCCTTCCCCAGGTAGCTACTTTGAAAGGTATAATACTCACGTGGATATATACGTTCTGGCATGTTTGTTAAAAAGTCCTATTATTTTATAGTCATATCTTATGAATAACAAAATACTTACAGATGCAGGAAGTTTTTAGTAGAACCGCTGCCCTAATACAAAACTATGAATCATAAAAATTTGTAAACTTAAAGACTTTAACAGGATAAAGTCTTAGAAATAGAATTTCTGGATCAAAGGGCATGGTGCATATCCAATCCTGTTTTGTTACATTTAGTAGAAAAATTATGTGATGTATCCAAAGTCACACTCTTTGTTTCTGGCAGGGCTTGAACTAAAATGAAGACATTTTATGATTTTTCATATAGTACTCATTTTACCTACCCACTCCTCAAAAAAAAATAAAAAAAGATAGCTTAATAATTCACAGACATTAAAACACCACCAAATGATGACATTTTAGGAAGGTAATATTAAAAACAAACAAAATTAACCAGAACCAATCATTTAAACTGACTTAAACCTGAAGTAATTTATTCTCCTTACGTGTGGATTCAGTGTACAAATCAAACTGATTATGATTAGGCTCAGAAAGAGCTTAGGAGATGATGACCAAGTGGCAGACTACATTCTAAATTTCTTGGCCTTCATTTAAATTAAAATCCCTTTTATTCTTATTGTTAAATTACATATAGAAATACATGTATACATATGATTAAACTGGAACTCACATTTAGTCACAAATTCAAACTGAAATATCGTTGGACTCTTTTACCTTTATTGTTATAGACATCTAGGTAATTTGGGGCAGAGAAAATTGTAATGAGTGATGGAAAGCCTGTTGTTTGGCTCTTCCTGTACATTCGATACCTGGAAGAGAGATGACAGCTTGTCTGTCTTGATATTGAAGTGAAAACTCTATAGTGAAATTTGGTACAGTTTTAAGATAACTCACCCAGCATCCTGGGCTTCATGGGCTCTGATTATTGATAACAAATTATTGTTCTGCAAAAATTCACAAACTGCAGGGTAACTGAAAGAGTGTAAGAAAACATAAATCCAGAATTAAAATGATTATTTTTTAATAGAAGGGATGGGAAAAGTCAAGATGGCATGAGTTGATTTTGTTTCAAGATGAAAGGTTTTATACACCACTGAACTTTTATTAATAGCTTAGTAATCATCATTCTGTTTTCCATTTTGCAAACATACCGCTTTCCAGATCAAACAGGCAGATAACAGAAAACCCTAGGACAGAAACAGGGCTCCCCTGCCTTTTTATTTTTTCACCTTAACTCATAATAATAATAATAACCTGATACCAACATTTTCTTGATATTTTGACATTAAAACAAAATACCACACAAGTGTGTGTATGTCTTTGTATGTATATGTGTGCATAATAAAACTGAACACACAATTTTCTACAATCATCAAATTACAAAATGTTAGAAAATAAAAGAATTTACTTATAGATTCACAGGCAATATTAACAGCAACACATAATATTATGCAGGGATATTTCAAGAGTAGATGCAAATATTACACCCAGCCTTATTCTAATAAAAGGTGCGATAGCTGTGTCAACTCCTGAAATATTCTTTTAGTACTAGCATCTTTATGAATGACAAATACCTTATAGGAAGAACTAGAGAATACATAATTAACCTGGGATTATCTAGATGTTATTAACTAGTTTATGTTATTTAAATCTTTGTTTCTCATTATATTAATTAGAAAAAATTAACTTTTAAGATGGCTAATACATTCCTATGGTAAAAAACTGAAGGACTGAAAGATACTGAAGAGTATACAGTGAAATACCTCCTTCCTATCCCTATTTTCTAACTACCATGGAAACAACCAATTTTCTAATTTTCTTGAGTACTTTTATAGAGAGAATTCTGTTCAATTTTAAGCAATTACACACACACACACACACACATACCCCTTCTCTTCCCTTTTTTAGAATTGTTAGCAGATGGGACACATTGTTGTTGTTGTTATGTGCCGTTGAGTCAAACCCGACTCATAGCGACCCCTCCTTGGGTTTCCGAGGCAGTATCACTACAGAAGTAGGATTGCCCAACCTTCCTTCCGAGGAGTGGCTGGTGGATTTGAACCGCCAGCCGTCTGGTTAGCAGGCAAGTGCCTTAGCCACTATGCTACCAGAGCTCCTGATGGGACACATATTTTTAAAATTTTATATTAGTGATTATTCCATATCGTATATAGTTTGTTTCCTTTTTCTACAATTTTTAAAAAACAGCTTCCTTGTATTTCATTGTTTAGATGTACCACAATTTATTTAACTTGTCTCCTATTGATGAACATTTAGGTTGTTTACAATCTTTTAGCATAAAAATGCTGCAATGAATAAATTATACCTACATTTCACACATTTGCAAGTATATCCATAGGATTAAGTCTTACAAGTAATTAAAGAAATTCTTCTGGATCAAAGGTCATGCGCATTTATAAATGAGAGATATTGCCAAGTTGACCTTCATAGAAATACCAATTTATATTCTACTAGGACAAATAAGCATTACATTCTTTTTAAGCAATGTAGAGAGAAGTAAAAGTTAAATGATTTCATCATATCAGTGATCAACAAAGTTGACAAGAAGAAAGCAAAAAATGAGGATTACTTTTTTGTATGTGTGTGGATTTTATTTAAGGATGTATTATCTCAGCTAATTAACAGATATTCTGGGGGGACTAAAATGCTTGTATTATTTGTCAGAATAAAATGTTGAGATTAAAGAAATTTAGACTTCAAACCTCCTTTGACCTCCCTACTTTTGAGTGGCAAAACAACAAAAGCTCATATATCAAATTTAAGGCAACAGGTGACTTCCAGGAAATGGCTTAGTACAGTTGAAGCTCAAAGTCTTGTTCTTTTTACATCTTTGACTATAGCAGTCATTCTAAAACCTGGAAAGTTTTTTTAAAAAATAACAAGAAATCTTTATTTATTTTTTTTAAAAATCTATAGATGATGTTTGGGAACAAATAATCTAGATTATTTAGAGTCAGACAACAATCTTGAAGCAATGCAACAGGTCTATCACGTTCAGTATACTATACTAACTGAGGCATAATACATAATAGTAAAAAAGTGAACAAATAGAAAGTGCTTTCTGTCTTCTATTAATAAAAAATTTAAACATAATTCCCTATACTATACATGTTTAAAATATGAAATACCTATTACCTGTAGAAATAAGAGCAGCCTCGGACAGTGTTGTGGGTATAGTGCTCCAAGGTCTTTTCACTGCCATAATCCTCTGAGGGATCAGACCAAAGCAGGTCACACACTGGCCCAAAGGCTGGAGGTTCTTTAAACCTGTCTAACTAGAAGACAAACAAAAGCCAAAAGAAAAAGATCATGAAAGCAAAAGAGCTCTTGAAAACTCATATGGTTCAAATAACTCCCTTCTACCTACAAGAATGTATCAAGAGAAAAGGCAGTAAACCCCTAAAACATTTTCCTACAAAGAAAAAAACACTAACAAATTATAACTATATGAGATCAAACTGACAATAGCAACTCTGAAGATTAGATAAGAAACTTAGAGGGCAGTGAGTTTATTTTAAAGTGGAAGGAACAACTCAGAAAAGGAGGGTAAGAATGGTTGCACAGCTGGAAGAAGGTGATTAATGTCACTGAAGTGTACGTGCAGAAACTGTTGCATTGGTTTATGTTCTGCTGTGTATATTCTCAACAACAAAAAATAAATTCTAAAAACAACAAATTATAGATACAGAATTTCTTATTTATTTATTTTTGTAATAAATTCTTATAAATACCCCTGTCATCTAACCATCTAAACCTACTGGAAAAAGGACTGCTTTATATTCCAACCTTAAATGCAGTACTAATTTAATATGAATGTAAAATCAACCACTATTGTTGTTGCCGTTAGGTGTTATCGAGTCAGCCCTGACTCACAGTGACCTTATGTACAACAGAATGAAACACTGCCCAGTCATGCACCATCCTCAAAATCCTTGCTATGCTTGAGCTCATCGTTTCAGCCACTGTGTCAACCCATGTTTGGCGAGACTCTTCCCTTTTTTGCTGACCCTTTACCAAGCATGGTATCCTTCTCCAGGGACAGGTCCCTTCTGACAACATGACTAAAGCAGGTGAGATGAAGGCTGGCTATTCTCACTTCCAAGGAGCGTTCCAGCTGCACTTCTTTCAGGAGAGATTGGTTCATTCTTCTGACAGTCCATGGTGTTTTCAGTATTCTTCAACACCACAATTTAAAGGTATCAACTATCCTCCAGTCTTCTTTATTCACTATCCAGCTTTCACAAGCATATAATGTGATTACAGATACCATAGCTTGGGTTACGTGCACCTTAATCTTCAAAGTGACATTTTTGCTTCTTAACACTTTAAATGTGTTTTTGTTCCCAATACTATGGGCCTGGGATACATTCTGGACCTGGAATAAAACTCACTCCCGGGGGCTGGCTCCCAGCCCAATAGTAAACAAGATATACATGCAGACCACTCAACCCAGGGTGACATACCGACATACTCTATGGAGATGCATCCCTTGCAGCAACTGACCACAGGGCACCAGGGGGCAACATTCACACAGAGGAAATGCAGGACACACAGGAGTGCATAACTATGAGGGGGTTGGGGAAGGGGTTTACTGGACAGGGAGGGGAGGAGACTGGGTTAGGGTTGGGGATGGTAATTGGGTAGAAAAAAAGAAAAATATATAAAAATAAAAAAATAAAAGAGGTTGTTTGCAGATTTGACCAGTGCAATATGACAACTGATTTCTTGATGGCTGCTTCCATGGGTGTTGATTGTGGATCCAAGTAAAATGAAATCCCTGGTGACTTCAATCTTCTCTCCATTTATCAAGATTGGTTATTGCTTATTGCTTATTGGTTCGATTGTAAGGATTTTTGTTTTCTTTATGTTAAGGTGCAATCCACACTGAAGACTGTAGTCTTTGATCTTCATCATTAAGTACTTCAGTCCTCTCCATTTTCAGCAAGCAAGGTTGTGTCATCTGCATATTGCAGGTTGTGAATGAGTCTTCCTCCAATCCTGATACTGCACTCTTCATATATTCCAGCTTCTTGGATTACCATATACATTGAGTAAGTATGGTGAGAGGATACAACGCTGACACACACCCTTTCTGATTTTGAACCATTCAGTGTTCCCTTGCTCTCTTTGAAAGGCAGCCTCTTGGTCTATGTACAAGGTCCTCATGAGCATAATTAAGTGTTCTGGAATTCCCATTCTTTTCAATTTTATCCATAATTTGGTATGATTCACACAGCTGAATGCCTTTGCATAGTCAATAAAACACAGATAAACATCCTTCTGGTATCCTTTACTTTTACCCAAGATCTGTTTGACATTAGCAACGATTGACATCCTTTGTTCCATGTCCTCTTCTGAATCCAGCTTGAATTTTTGGAAGTCCCCTGATGTAACCATTTTTTAATTATCTTCAGCAAAGTTTACCTTCATGTGGTATCAGAACTGCAATCCATTTGTTGAAACAGCTGAATGGGTATTCCACCAATTCCTGAAGCCTTTTCGCCAATTCCTTCAGTACAGCTTTGACTTCTACTTTCAGTGCCATTGGCTCTTGATCATATGCTATCTCCTGAAATAGTTGAACATCAACCAGTTCTTTTTTGTACAGTGACACTTCCATCTTCTTTTGGTGCTTCTTGCATCATTCACTATTTTGTCCACAGAATTCTTCAATATTGCAACTAGAGGCTTGAATTTTTTCTTCAGTACTTTCAGCTTGAGAAATGCCAGGTGTGTTCTTTGTTTTTGTTTTTCTAACTCCAGCTCTTTGCACATTTCATTTTAATAACTTATTTTGTCTTTGTGAGCCACCCTTTTAAATCTTCTGTTCAGATCTTTTATTTCATCATTTCTTCCACTTACTTTAGCTTCTCCATGTTCAAGAGTAAGTTTCAGAGTCTCTTCTGACATCTCTGTTGGTCTTCCCTTCCTTTCCTGTCTCTTTAATGAACTTTTGCTTTTTTCATGTATGATGTTCTTGATGTCATCCCACAACCTGTCTGGTCTGCTGTCATTGGTGCTCAGTGCATAAAATCTATTCTTCAGATAGCTTCTAAATTTAGGTGGGATATAATCAAGGTTGTATTTTGGCTTTCATGGACTTGTTTTAATTTTCTTCGGCTTCAACTTGAATTTATGAGGCAACTGAAAATACCATGGGATGGGTCAGTCACATGCATGTTAGTCCTCAAAGTGACATCTTTATTTTATTATTATTTTTTTAACACGTTAAAGACATCTTTTGCAGCAGATTTTCCCGAAGCAAAGGCATCTGACTGCTAACCAGAAGGCTGGTGGTTAAAACCCACCAGCTCTTCATGGAAGGAAGACTGGGCAATCTACTTCCATAAAGATTTACCACCTCAGAAACCTAAAGGGGTTCACTATGAGTCAGAATCAACTTGATGGCAGATAATTTTTTTTTTTTTTTTTTGGTTTTCAACTTGAACTTGCATATAAGCAATAGATGGTCTGTTCCATAGTCAGCTCCTGACCTAGTTTTGACTGATGATACCGAGAGCTTCTCTATCACCTCTTTCTACAGATATAGTCAATCTGACTCTTGTGTATTACATCTGGTGAGATCCACATATATAGCTGCCATTTATGCTGTTGAAAAAGGTATTTGCAATGAATAAGTCATTAGTTTTGCAACATTCTATCATGCGGATCTCAGTGTCATTTCTATCACCAAGGCCATATTTTTCAACTACTATGCTGATTCTTGTTTCCAACTTTTGCATTCCAATCACCAGTAATAATCAATACATGTTGATTGCATGTTTGGTCAATTTCAGACTGCAGAAGTTGGTAAAAATCTTCAATTTCTTCATCTTTGTCTTAAGTGGTTGGTGCACAGTTTGAAAAATAATAGTATTAACTGGTCTTCTTTGTTGTTGTTGTTGTTGTTGTTATTTGCCATCGAGTCGGCCCCGACTCATATCGACCCCTCCTTGGGTTTCTGAGGCAGTATCACTACGGAAGTAGGAATGCCCAACCTTCCTTCCGAGGAGTGGCTGGTGGGTTTGAACCACCAGCCTTCTGGTTAGCAGTCAAGTGCCTTAGGCACTATGCTACCAGAGCTCTTCTTTGTAGGTATATGGTATTTTCCTACCACTGACAGCACTGTACTTCAGGATTGATCTTGAAATGTTCTTTTTGATGACGAACGTGTTGCCATTCCTCTTCAATTTGTCATTCTCATCAAAGTAGACCATGTGTGATTGGCTGATTCAAAATGGCCAATACCAGTTCATTTCAGCTCACCATGCCTAAGAAATCAATTTTTATGTGTTCCATTTCATTTTTGACAATTTCCAATTTATATTACACCTGTTCCTTCTCATTTTGAGTCATGGCACATCAGCAAATGAAGGTCCCAAAAACTTTATTTCATCTACCTCATTATGGTCAACTCTACATTAGGAAACAGCTCTGCCCCAGTTGTATTTTGAGTGCCTTTCAACTGAGGGATTCATCTCTGGTAATAAATCAGACAATGTTTCATAGCTGTTCATAAAGTTTTCCAGTATTACATCAGACAGTGTTTCACTGCTATTCATAAGGTTTTCAGTGGCCAGCTTTTCAGAAGTGAATGGCCCTATCAGTCTGTCTTAGTCTGGAAGCTCCTCTGAAACCAGTCCAACACGGATGACTGGGTGATATGTGAAATACTGGTGGCACAGCCTCCAGCCTCACAGCAACATGCAAGCTACCACAGTACGACAAACTGAGCAACCACTATAGAGACAGGCTATTATTTAGAAAGATTATTTGAAGTTAATTTCAGTTGCCTAGGTGAGCCAATATTACCATCAGGGCAAAAAATTTTTTTATAATGGTTCTGTTCTTTGTTTTATTTCTTTTCAATGATGACTTCATTTTTAAGAATGCTATTTTGAAGAAATTTTATATAGTAAAGGGCTTTTACCCTTTCCACTCTATGTAGTACAGGCATTTCAATATAACTTAAGTCTTATCAATATAACTTAAAACAATTTAAGCCTTTCTTTAGTCACTGCTGTTTTAGTTAAAAGCAGAAAAGCCAAGAGAAAAGAGTACCAAGAATAGCTGAGTGCCAAGAGGAGGAATTCCACTAAGTGAAAGGGGAGCTTTTTAGTGATACAATTGATCCAGAATTATGAAATTCAAGACTTATTATGTAAAAAGGCACTGCTGGTTATTTAAAGGACAATAAGGCAGCAGAAAAGGCAGTGCATACTGTGGAGGCAAACCCTCACGCCGTGAGAAGAGTGACTTTAACTCAGAGAAAACAGTTTTATAGGTGGAAAAATATTTAGTTTTAGTACCTGTATGAGACAGGGTAATGTAGAACAATATAAGATAAAAATGACTGATAATCAAACATGCCAAATCATGAAGATGCAGAATCCTAGAATCTTGGAAATAATAATCACTAAGAAAAGCAATTGTAGCAATTAAATTATATCATCTAAAATGTCAAAGTCACAGAATTTCAGAGCTAGAAGAGTATTCAGACAATTTATTCCAGCTTTCTCATTTCACAAAGAAGAAAATGCGATAGAGAAGTTAAGTGATTTGATTGAGGTCACACAGTGAACTAATATCAGGACTAGGATTAGAACCCTGGTTTCTATGCTTTTGTACTGCCCCACAAATTTAAAGTTTTGGTACTATAAGCAAAGAATGTTATGTTTTAAGTTAGTAAAGGCACAGATTTCATAAAAAGCTATAGAAAATTTTTCAAATATATCAAGCTATTAACTGTAGCTGATGCTCAATGAGGGAACTCTGGTAGTATAATGCCTAAGGCACTTGCCTGCTAACCAGAAGGCTGGCAGTTCAAACCCACCAGCCACTCCTCGGAAGGAAGAGGGGGCAATATACTTCCATAGTGATACTGCCTCGGAAACCCAAGGAGGGGTTGCTATGAGTTGGGTCCGACTTGACGGCACATAATAAGAACAACAACAATGCTCCATGATAGGATGTCAGGTTATTTCTACTTTCTTATTTCTGATTTTAAAATATTTAAAAATTATCAGCAGTAGAAATATATTAGTTGACTGTGATAAGAAGCAAACTTTAAAAAATATTACATGAGAATAATGAGAGATTACTTACTTTCTTAATATCATCTAAACAAGTGATTTCAGGGGACATCCCTCCATGTACACACAAAAACTGTTGATTTAAGAGGGCAGCAAGAGGAAGACAGTCAAAGGTTTCCATACATGCATCATACACCGCTTCAGAATATTTGATTCGACCTATCAAAAAGAAATACAGTCAAAAAGAGAAAAGCTGAAAGCTATCATATATACAAAAGGATATAGGCCAGAAGAGTATGAAGCTATTTCAGAGGCTATTTATTTTTGGGAAATTTGAAAACACAATCATCTTTGTAAAGATATTTTTTCGAAAACTTGTAGATTTCAAAGGTTAGCAAAACTTTTCTCCTTTAAAGACAAATTTGACTTTGGATTAACTTTCTTGCTCTGTTTCCCTGGAAACTTTATAAAGGTGAATGTCAACAAGGCTTATGGCAAAAATGATTCAACTAGCATATTGCATCATAACTATAAGTACCTGATGGGAAGCTATAGCTATGGGCTTCTCTGAGGTGACTCATAATTGGGCCTGTCCCTGGCTGGGACTCTGACAGGCACTCCTATCAAGCATTGATGCTTGTGATGCCTGAGGCTCCCTAATCTGCTCAGTGTGAATTTTGTTTCTTTGCCCCTGAATTACTTCTAGCATAAATTATACAGGAAGAATAGGCCATAGAATAATGGGGCAATCTGGAAGATGGGCCTTAGTTTAAAGAGAAAGGTAAGGTTTTCTTCTCTCTTGGCCTTGGATTTTATAAAGTCAAGTTGTTCTTGGTAGTGTGTGTGGTAGGAAAGACCAGAAGTCACATAGGCAGGCAGCCCTATAGAACTATGACCTTGTTTTCTTCTAGGATTCCATGAAGATGGGACAGAGCTTATAGAATCAAGGGAATAAGCCATATCTAGTGAGTCAGAATATTGTGTTGGTAATTATTTCTGTGTTTTTCTTGTTCTCCCAGCTTTTAGAAAAAAATGCATTTGGATATCAGAGCCTGGCTCTGGCAAGGCTATGGTGAATAAAGTAAAGGATAATGGGTCTAGACTTGGGCCAGAGTACAGGAATAATTATAAAGAGATCCCCTAAGGGGAACATGTAAATCAGTGGACCACACCTGAGGTTATAAGGTCCTTCCATCCCTGAACATGTGAAAATGTTTTCTTCTGGGGAATGAGAGTTCATTAATAGAGTCTGTGGATTCTTTAGAACATTTCATAGCATTTTGTAATACCAAGATAGCAGTTAAGATAATCTATTACACCAAAAACCAGTTGTTGTCAAGTTGACTCTGACTCATGGCAACCCCCTACTGTGTCAGAGTAGACCTGTGCTCCACAGGGTTTTCAATGGCTGATTTTCTTAAGTAGAATGCCAGGCCTTTCTTCTGAGGCACCTCTAAGTGGACATGAATGGTCAATCTTTCAGTTAGCAGATAAACATGTTAACCATTTATACTACCCAGGGACTCCTCTTTACAGTTACAACTTCATATTTTGCCTTGTACTTAAGCACTACGCATTTTGGCTGATGGATCCAACATTGGCTATAAAGTGGTTGGAGGGGGAAAAAATCCCTTTTAGTTTGTGCCCAATGATTGACGTGTTTTTCCCTGACAATCCCAGGAACTGATGCTGTTGAACTACCATAAAATTTCTTTCTAAGAGTCCTAAGCTTATATAAAGGCAGGAATTTGGATTACTCATTAATTCATGATCCATAACACCATCATACATTGATAAAGTGCATTTCAACTATAAGAATGATGCAAAAGAATTCCATAGCATACTTCAAAAAGGATGCCAAGTCAAGAGAAAGATGGCAAGTCATATAGTGTATTATTAATCTGTTTTATGAATTAGAACAGGTCAAAAATCAAATTAATCAAAAGGAAGTTCACATTATATTAACGTTACTAAATCAGTTATATAATGTTACCATTTTTATTTTTTAAAGTATATGAATATACACATAAATACCAAAACTTTTATTTTTTTCTGAGGGGTAAGACTGAAGATGATATTTATACTTCAACTTGACTCCTTGACTTGGTTGAGCTCTATTTTCTAAATTTTTTTATGATGAGTATATAATCTTTTACCAGGAGCTCTGGTAGCATAGTGCCTAAGGCACTTGACTGCTAACCAGATGGCTGCTGGTTCAAATCCACCAGCCACTCCTCGGAAGGAAGATGGGGCAATCTACTTCCATAGTGATACTGCCTCGGAAACCCAAGAAGGGGTTGCTGTGAGTCGGGTTCTACTTGACGGCACGTAACAACAACAACAACAATATAATCTTTGTATAATAATAGCTACTATTATACAACCTTTATTATCAAAATGCATTGAAGGTTCACAATATGGCCATCGGGGTGCTAAGTGTTTTATACAGCACAGTGATTGAGAGATGGATTCTGGAACCAGACTGACTGTTTAGATTTAAATCCCAGCTCCACCACTTACTAGTTTTGTGACCTTGTACAAATTATTTTAACTCTCTGTGTCTTGGTTTCCTCATCTATAAAAGGGGCATAATAAAAAAAATAATAATAATACTTACATTATAGGATTGTTTTGAGGATTAAATGAATTCCTATATGTAAAAGCCTTTTAATACTGCTTGGGATATAGTTGTTATTGTTAGTTGCTGTTGAATTGGCTCTGAGTAGGTACTATTTAACAGTTAACCAATACAATGATCTTATTTAATCCTCACAGAAATCCTATGAAGTAGGATTTATTATTGTTTTATGTGAGAAAATAAAAGCTGAGGAAATAGGGTTTACTTGCCCAAAGTTGCAATCTAGTTAGTGACAGTACTAGGACTTGAACCCAGTTTTGTTTGTCTCAAAGTCCATGCTCTTAACCACCATACAAAGCTCCTCCTAATTACTATTTTTATTTTTTTAAAAAATTACCTAGGAGAATCTAAATAGCCAAATATATAATCCACAAAGGTAAAATTAACAAACCAAAGTGCTTTACTTTCGTTACAAATTTTAAGATATATCACATAAAACAATTATTTCTGTAATGAAAGAAAAATGCACCATAGCCATAGGCTCACACTAATAACAAGTTTTAACTAGTATCAGTAACACCACACTGTTCTGGTTACCTAGTGCCACTCTGATAAGAATATACCACAAATGGGATGGCCTTAATAAACAGGAATTTATTCTCTTACAGTTTGGAGGCTTTAAGTCCAAGTTCAAGGTGCCAGGCTCTAGCGGCTGGGTGAAAGCCCCTCATTCAACCTTGGGGTCCAGCTCTGCCTCCTGCTCCTGGCTCACTGGAGCTAGAGGCATTTCTTCACTCAGACAGCTGCTGGCTGCTGAGGCTGAGAAGCCCAAAGTTGACAGGTAAAAAGGCACAGTCCCAATGTTAACAAACCACACGGCAGGCCACTGATTCAAGCCCATTATAAGTCCCAAGGTCAGCAGAGCATAGCAAGCTGCTGAGCAATGACAAGACTACACACAGGGTCCAAGCATGCCATAGGCTAGAGACCATTCCTCCTGGGAGGTTTGAATCCACCTAGGGTACCTCAGGAGGAGCTCTGGTAGCATAGTGGCTAAGTCACTTGCCTGCTAACCAGACGGCTGGTGGTTCAAACCCACCAGCCACTCCTCGGAAGGAAGGTTGGGCAATCCTACTTCCGTAGTGATACTGCCTCGAAAACCCAAGGAGGGGTCGCTATGAGTCGGGGCTGACTCGACGGCACACAACAACAACAACAACAACATAGCATAGATGGAACTTGAAGATACTATGCTGAGTGAAATAAGTCAATTACAAAAGGGCAAATATTGTATGACTTTATTTACATAAAAAAGTAAGAACAGGTGAATCTATAGAGATCAGTTTATTAGTGGTTACCAGGGGTGGGAGAGAGAGGGAAAAAGGGGGCTGTTGCTGATAGAGTACTCAGTTTCAGGTTAATGTGTTGGAAAAATCTCATTGGTTAAGGGAAGGGTTGCACAGCTGATTAATGTAACTGGTGTCAATAAGCTGTACACCTGTAAAAAGTTGAATTGGCAAAAGCTGTGTGACAGATATATTTACAAAAACCTCAAAAAAAGAGTAGCTGTTGAGGCTGCTTATGTACAACCAAATACCTCATGGGATTTTGTTCCTTGGTTTGGAAGCCGAGGGTCATGGTTTCATGAGACATCCCAGTTAGCTGGCCTAATAACATGTTCAAGGCTTCTATTCTACCTCCTAGTTCATTATGTAGTGTCTGGGGTCATTGAAAGTTAGAAATGGCCATTTAAGGTACAACAGGGTGGCACAGTGCCTAAGGCATCTGATTGCTAACAAGAAGGCTGGTGGTTCAAACCCACCAGCCACTCCTTGGAAGGACAATTGGGCAATCTACTTCCATAGAGATACCACCTCAGAAACCCAAGGAGGGGTTGCTGTGAGTTGGAACCAACTCGATGGTAGTGAGTTTGGTTTTTTTTGGTTATTCATCAGGAACAACAGAGTAAGGAGAGTGAGGAATAGAAAGAGGAAATGGAATGTATGGCTAATTGCCTTCATGAACAACTGCCTCTTTTGCCATGAGACCAGAAGAACTGGATGGTATCCAGCTACCATTACTAAACATTTTGATCAAAGATTCCATAGAAGAATCGTGATCAACAGGAGGAAAATACAGACAAGAATTTCAAATTCTCATGGAATCTAGACTTTCCAGAGCCATGGAGGGTAGATGAACCCCTGAAACTATTGCTCCAAGATAATTTTTAAACCTTAAACTAAAAACATCCCCTGAAGTCTTGTTAGAACCAAGCAGTATTAACTAGTAAAGAATGTCTGCCTTGAGCACTGTACTTTTTAAAGTCTATCTATATGAGGTCAAATTGACAATGGCAACTGGAAAGATTAGATAGAAACTGTTCTGGTTACCCTAGTGCCGTTCTGACAAGAATATACCACAAATGGGATGGCTTGAACAAACAGGAGTTTATTCTCTTCTAGTTCGGGAGGCTAGAAGTCTGAGTTCAAAGTGCCAGGCTCTAGGGGCTGTGTGAAAGCCCCTCGCTCTGCCTCTTGCTCCTGGCCCACTGAAGCTAGAGGCATCTCTTCACTTAGGCAGCTACTGGCTGCTGAGGCTAACAAGCCCAAGGTTGACAAATAAAATGGCACAGTCCCGATGT